TGTTAGTTTTTACAGAGTCTGTTTTGTTAATAAATAGAAAGAAATGTGCTGATATCTTCCCATAAACATAATTTACGTGTAAAATATTTTCTTGGTCTCACCTGCATTGAAAATGGAAAATAATGAGACCTTCCAATAGAATTGATTGAGATCAAATGAGAGAGAGTTTTAATACATGACAGTTTATTTTATGGCTAGAAAAGATTACTTGTGAGTATTTCTGTATTGTTTCAAATAATGCCATTGATAGCTGCTGTATTAATTATAGTAATTGGACCGATTGGAGTACAATTTAGGGAGTAATCGGGCAAGTAATTTCAAAATCGGACAAGTGTAAAGCGTGAGGCCCATTTGAAACTAAGAGATTTCTCCCTGAATTCTGCTCCACTTGGTCCAATAATGAAGCACGCAAAGTCTAAAAATAGAATGCAAATTGTTGGAACCCCGCAAGAGTCAGACAACGTAAGTGTGTTCTGAGAGAAACAAGAGGAAAATGAACGCTTGGTTATGCACTTGAAAAAGTGTCAAATTTTCCACAATTCTGTTTTGTTTGTCTGAGTTTGAGTTATGACAGCACTTGCGTGCTTCACTATTACTAATTACTCATATCAATAACAAATTATGAGATTATTAAGAAAGTCTTTTGAGAACTTCTGAGGAAGAAAGTCAGTGGTGTTTTCCATACATTGTAGAAACTGTTGAGAACACTAAGAAAGAGTCCATCAAAGTGAATGTAATTGACGTGCAAATGGCCGAGATATCTGATTACAGGTTTCCAATTACAAAAGGTCAAAAATTGAATACCGTTTATTGGACACCCACATGACCATGTGCCAATAACATGACAAATAGTCATGTGGACAACCAATCATGATCAAGAATTTTGTTATACTCACAATACCATTATTTATATAATGATGGACTAATGAGTTACTGCAGCAACGACTTGTGGTCAGATTTGACTGGTATGAATTAAGTAAACAGGATGGTTGTCAGGTTTTTCAGAGTTGATGATTTTACCATTTTGATGATGTCATGCAATATCATCAATTTTTCCATGTAATTTGTTTTTCTTTGAAACAAACTACTGCCTCCATAGATCGATAATTATTAATCATGTCAGTAAATATACAAAGTTTCATAAAAATCTGCTGCAAACTCATGAAAAATATGGGACCCCAAACCTGACAATTTTTTTTACAAAGAAATGTATGCTAGGCGGCAATGCTTGCCATATTTTCATGATTTTGCAATTTATTCTTTTGAAACTTTGCTGTAATGAGGAGAAACAAGTTAAAGATGAGACCAAAGCTTCATTTGAAGCCAGACATGAAACCATTCAGGATCTGAGTTTTGTAGTTAGAAATGAAGTCAAATAGTATATAACTAAGTGAAGAATGAAACAAATAACTAGAAATGAATTCATTTATTCATTAAGTTTTGCATGACAGAAGACTCAACGCCACTATGATATTTGTGAAAAGTTACTGTCGTCACACATATCCCTAAAAGTGGATCCACATTTAATATTTTCTCCCACTGCCTGGGCTTGCCTTTAGAGACCTTTAGAGTAAACTGCAGTGCACGGTTGACAATTTTTTATGAGTCTGTTTATACCTCACTGTGCATGTGCCTTGTTAATTATTCCTTACTGTGAGAAAAACAGCTGTCTGTGGCTGTTACACCCAGGTAATTGCCATGAGTGTGTTTTGCCAACAGGTTTCGTTGAAGCCATGAAGATTTATCAGATTTATTGCATATATGCTTTGGGATTTCCTAGAAAAAATGATTTCTGTTATATTTTCATATTTTACTCTTACATAATGTTGTTGTTTGAGATTTGAAGTTTTGGCTTTGTTTACCCATCATGTATTTGAGATTGATCCTTTGTTATTTTTTATTACACCTGCTGTCAACTGCCCCTCAACACAAAACTTCACCACGTGCAGTCCACGTGTTGCGAGAAACATCTGGAGAGAACTTGATTGCGCAATGGCTGCTCTGACGTCAAAAGTTTGAAAAGCTTCGCGATGATGTAATGGCGCCACTGTCAGATCAGACTGGTGGAAACAGATGCGAGCAGAGAAAAGATGGCCGCATTTTACCGCTATTCCTGTTTATGGCACGGTTGTGGCAAGCAGTGTACTTCCTTATTAGAGCTAATCGACCATATCGAAGTGGTACATATCGAGAAAGACCCGAGAGTCCTCGAGAAACAAGAGGCAGCACAGCCAGCCGCTCTGCCGCTTTCGTACATCAACTGTTTCTTCACCGATGCTGCACGCAATGCTAAACAGAAGGAGCCAGTTTTGACTGCTACCGAGCCAGCCACGCCAAGCCCTGACCACAGCGTTGTGAAAAAGAAGCGATCGACCCCTCCTAAGATAACTATACAGGCAATAAATAACCCAGATCCGCTGGACGGGGCAGACGAAGATGGTAATTTGAGTGATAATAGCGATGATTCTTGGACTTCTGATAGTTTCGCTAACGATCTGGTATTAAACGCTGTGGCAACAGATGATGGAGAGGGAAAAAGATATGTTTGTCCAGTTCCTGGATGCGGAAAGCGTTACAAGAATGTCAACGGGATTAAATACCATGCGAAATACGGCCACAGAAAGGACTCGAGTCGACCGAAGAAAGCTCATAAATGCCATTGTGGGAAAAGCTACAAGAGCCCAAGTGGCCTTCGGCACCATATAGTAACGCAACATTCTACAGGCCCGAAGCATTCAATGCCCCACGAACTTGAGAACGTAGCGTGAAAATAAGGATCAAAGATGTGTTTTGAAAATTGTGGGAGCGAAAGTAATGAAGGATATGTTTTCGTGTTTATGTACAAGTCTTTCCCCACTGGGAACATGGTTCTCTTCACGACACGGAACTGCTGTTTCGTTCGTTGCTGTCTGGCATAAGCTGCACTTTATCCGGTGTTTCATCGACATCTTTGATCTTACCAGATAGGATTGTTCAGTCCTATCTAGTGGTTTCTACAAGGAAGATATCTTGGTTCTTGTCATCGAGTCTTGCCCTTTGGGAATACGTGGTTGGCAAGGCCGTAATCATTTCACGGTTGCTCTCTTGACCTGTGTTAATGATGAACTTCCTTTCATCTTCCACAGTTTGCCGCCGGTGTAAGTCTTTTTTCTTGTCTCATCGGATCAGTTATTAACATCAGATTCCGGATAATTCTATACGTCTTCACGAAATTACTGTGTAATATTTGCTCGAGAAGGAAACGTGTACTTTGTATAAACTTGAGATCGAAATGGTTACTTTTAGCTCGCTCTGTCTGCTTCGTGAGGATTTTACACCAGATAAATCGAGAATTTCTACCTTAAAACAGAGCAATTTCAGCTTTTAACTGGAAAGGATAAAGTTTAATTTATTTATGAGAAGGTCTTAAAATTATTGTAATATAGCAGAGTATTTAGAAATAGACACTGTCTAAAAGCGCGTTTTGAAAGGTTTTGAATCTACGTTGATTTCCTTTACTTGGCGTGTTGTATATAGAACTTTAACTTATGCCTGTGAATGTAAAGTGACAAAAGGATCCTAATATAATTTAATATCAGGAAATAAGTTATTAATTATGGTAGAATACCATATATTTCTTTTCAATATTTTTGGTCCAAACATCAAAATATTGAAGCCAATCTTTTATCAAACAAAACAGGGATAAATCTCCCGTTTGAATTGATCATTGCAACGTACATATTAGACTGTTTTAAGTCTAGTCTGTGATCAAGAAGATCATTAAAGAAACAAAAGTTTCACAATCTAGAGTGGGCTCTTTGGTCAAAGCTAAAGCGAACCAACCAGCATCAGTTTCACTTACCTAAGAGCAAGTTTTTGCAAGTGGAAGAGCATGAGGCTCAATTTCCACAGTGCTCTCCGATCCTCATGGTTAGTGCGCT